AAATAATATTGGTAATAAAAGTGTGGTGAGAGCGGTCTGCTAGCCAAAATTGGTAGACAGCAATTTACGTGACTGCTTACGTCCTGAATCAAGGTCATGGGAAAAAACAAGAACAAAGCCTAATCTTGAGGAACTCATCATCACAGCAGACTCAGCATGGTGGATACGATTCGCAGATATATGGCCCGAATTTTAAAAAACGGCCAAAAAGAGATGATTAAATAACCTTCAGCGAGAAAACAACTGATCAGAAGACGTTACCTCTCTGCTAACAATAACGCCAATAATAATGTAGATTAAAATCAATAAATATCTGTGTTATAGAGTATCCAGCTGAAGAGTTCCACCAAAATTCGATGAATATTCATTTGGAATAAACTGATAGGAAACAGGATAACAGAGGATTAAAAATAGGTTATAGAAATAAAGTTTTAAAAAATATTAAATGAAACGGAAAAATCAAAAGGACTATACGGAGTTAATTCTATGTCCGTTTAGAAGAAAAATACTGACTGGAAGACCACCGTAGCAAAACGTTTCTGAACTTCAGGTTTAAGTTTTCCGTTTGGACTTCTAAAGCTTTGGCTTCATGAGGGAAATGTAGGCAAAAATTTTTTTAGCAGCTCGATCGTAACTTTTTTATGACACTTAATTCAGTCTCTGCTTATGCTCTATGATGACAAGTGATGATACGATCGACAGCTGAACTGTTGACTGTTATGCTTTCACTTTTTGACTTCCACGCTGGTAAGTATTCATGGGCGTGTCCAGGCAATGTCCTGTTGGTATGGCCTGTTTACTTGGAACCACAGGAGCAGATGCTCTGGTAAATGCGCACTGAAGTTAACAACGGCTGGAATTCATCTTATAAGTTTTTGCGAACAAGAGCATGTTTTGAGAAGGTGAGGTGTAGAGATGCAGCAAGGAAAACTCTTGGAACAAACTTCAGGGAATTCAACGTTTTAAATAGTAATAGCTGATATCTGCTGCACAAGAGATGATTTTATTAGCTCAGGAACTTAGTGACTAACGCTTTAGAATTTGAAATGATAGGTATTATATTTCAGTTTCACAGCACCACTGACTAAGATTCCAGCACACCATATATTGACCGAAAGTTCCACTCTGCACTTTAAAATGGTTCCCACTGGTACACTTAGTAAAAGGCTGTCGTATTGTGACCGACAATATCAAAGAGCCCTCATACAGTGAGAACCTATCTCCTCCAGGGTAATCACGGCAAAATTCAACTTAAAAGGTAGGAAGTAACAATTATCCAATGTTATGCCCCTGCAAATAATTCAGACGAACATGAGAAGGACTTCTACAGAAAACTGCAAAGCATTAATGGATTAGGTATCAGTTATATGATGACACCAAAATACAATGAGTAATGTGAGTGTCATAAAGGGAACAAATAGTACATGATTCGGTGACTGGCGGTAGCGCATAAAAACACAAGCATATTGATATGGCGACGGAATTTTCATGAGTAGGGAAAATGAAGTCAGTTGCAAAAGAGTAGTGACTCAGCTTACTGGATATAAGGTCAAGAAAAGAAGCAAACCACTGTCTAATGTTGAGTGCCTTCATGAACAAGTTGAATGCACTCAAACAAGCTGGAAATAGACAACAACCCTATTTTGCCGCCCGAAACCTGAAAGATAAGGCGACCAAGGATGCTTTCACAGCATTCGCCAGTAAAATTTTAGTAAGGAAACCTGCAGAGTAGAACAAAAAGGGATTAACCGAAAGCAACGTTGAAAAGAACCTATACAGACATCTAAGGTAAGAAGAAAGCACTTAAGAATGGTTCTCTATTGATTTCTGGAAGCTGATAGAGGAGAGTGGGATGGCGAAGCAGAATATGAACTAAATGAGTAGTGAAAAGTGGAAGGAGAAATTGGATACAATCTACAACGCACTGAATAAAGGAGTAAGTAAGAGTGCCAGTAAAGTTAAAATAGGCTTCTATAGCTCATCAGCTACTGCTGCATAACTGGTTGTATGTAAAAGTCATGAAAGAATATGAAAATAAACCCTCAGGTTGATATGCAGGATAGAATGCACACAAATAAAGTCAATGAAAGATAACGAAAGGAACCCAGTTATTAAGTAAAGGGAACAGAGGGAGCGGTGGGCTGATCATACCAAAAACTCTTGAATCAACTACCATTAGCAATTAGTTCTGAAATACATACAATAAACACAGAACTACCAGCAAACGTCTACTCTTTGACCAAAGCAAAGATATTGAAGCCTATAAGAGGATTAAAGGGGCGAGAAACTGGCAGGACTAAATGGAATTTTTCACACAACCGTTAAGAAATGACCCGAAGATCTCAATGCCCATGCCTACGCCATCAATTCACAAGATTCAGAAAGAAAGAAATTCACAGATTAAAACTAAATCTATTCAAGAACTGGTGATGAATTATGCCCCTGCCCACCTTAAACAAAATCCTAAATCACATCATCCCTGAAAGAATGAAAAGTTTACTAGATGAAAGATTTCTCTGTGAACCGGCTAGATTCAAAACAAACAAATCAAGCGCGGTCATCTTTTTCAGATCAAATTCATCGACTGTGAACGACCACAACATATCGTTGAGAGTTGAAAGATTCAGATTCATTGGACCGACAGAAGGACCTAGACCAGTATTTCTCAAATGGCTTATTTCTCCTGAAGCACTAAGAAAACTAATTCTTGCACTTAGAACTTCAATATCCTTGAGTTTAGTGTTTCGAATTCAGGAAACATTATCTATTCAATGTTCACTTACTTTCACTGTTTCCATAATTGATATTATGTCCTCGTGAGGAATTCAGGGAATCTTAAGTAGTCACTCCTCATGTTAATTATCTAATGCGCATTAAAGAATTCTGCTTATTCAATTATTCCTGAGACTTACCAAAGCTAAAACCCGTTCAGACTGAGTAAAATCGGCATGATTCAGCTTAGATAAACAAGACCATAAGACCAAGGTAAAATACTTATTACATTTCTCTGAACAACTTAAAAGCTCTGGAGTACTTTTAAATAGACAGAGACTAGTGCATATTACGAACGAACTGATTTAGTCGTAGAAGGAAGATATCAGTGTGTTCATTTGTCTCCCAGGAATCGCGACCTATGAAGTGAAGTGAATGCTCCATTTAATCATATTTTTAATACTTTTCAAAGTGACATGAATGATCAATGATCACCTGGACACAGCTAGCTTCGATGGTCCAGCGATAGAAAGCTTTCCAACTACTCACGTGGTCCGGGGTTCGGTTCTCTGCAGATGCACTCTTAGACCTCACTAAACCAGTAATAAAGCCTGTAAAGATTGAAGGTTTGGTGTGAGGCCAGCAACCCCACCCCGTAAAAATAACAACACTATTGCTGAAAATTCAATACTGTAGCTTGGAGCCTTATTTCCTACTCGTAATGTAAAGGAATAAAATAATGGATACAATGGAGGTTCTTCCGTAAGACTAACAGTCTCTTGTACATATTAAAAAATTTAGAAGTCAGAAGGTTTGAGCAAAGAAATATTTCCTCAACTAGATCCTCATCTATGCCTCTACTCTAATACATATGGCATTCTTAATACAAAAAATTGTCAATCAAATAGGGGTCTAGATCAGCTTCGATTTTTAGAATTTCGTCATGAATAAACATCATTTAGAGAGACCACTGAAAACTGTGGAGGACTAGGGAGCTTAAGATTATCATTACGCAGTGAAAATGATAACCCAGATAAGCCTGTTCATAAATTTTTGAATTTAGTGCCAAGACAAATCATCAGGCAAACAGCTTCAAAGAAACTCTTGCTCATAAAATTGCAGTATCTTGGTGAAAAAGCCAAAGAAACTGTAATTGTGAGGATGAATTACCTTATTTCTCCCACTCTGCATGTATCTACATATATGACTTCTCTTGTGGAGATAGTTATATTTGACATGAGATTAGAAATATTGGTCAATGTATTTCCGAAAATCGTCCTGTATAGTTAAGCAAGGGATAAACAAGATCTATCCGCAGCTCTGGTTTAGCACACTTTGTCGATAATGAGCGTAAATTTGGTATTTAAACAGATAACAATTCCAACAGTTGGTATGATCACGGGCAGTAGTTTTGCTCAAAATATCACCAAAAAACAAAAACTTATCATTGTGTGTAAACTATTAAAATATTACTATAATTTAACTGATCTATCCCACAATGCTCACACTTTATACTGATATTTAAAGTTACCTACTGCATTCCGACTAATATTCACTTTGCTTTACGATTTCGTCTTCTACAGAGAGCCGCAGTCATTGAAATCCACTTGAAGAAGGCACACTTGTGCGTTCAAAAGAAACTCGAACAGACACTTACCCTACCATGACCATTATTACATGAATGTAAAGACTGAAAATTATCCCCTCCCCCCTGAGCGTTTTACTAGTTATCATTTTCCGGATTATTTCATTATTCCGCCTACTATATCTTTCATTGCCTATTATGTCATCAGTTTGAACACTCACCTGTCAATTACTTCCATTATTTCCCCAAAAATTATACATTGTGCAATCCCCTTACATATATATACTACGGTAGAGTCATTGCGTCGGTGGCACAGCAGTGGATTGCTCGCTAACCACATGGGTGGTTCCGGGTGGTCCAGCCAACACAACCCTTTACCTTGCCAAGCCAGTAATAAGACTGGTAAAGAGGGAAGCTTGGGCATGAGGCAAGCAAACACATACCAAAAAAATAAATATCACTCCTGAAGAAACTCCAAGCCCCTAGCTTGAAGCCCTATTTACCACTGGGAACGTAAAGGAATAAAAAGAACGGCAGAATCCTTGATGAGGATCTGATTGAAAAGTAAGTATTTCCACGCCCAGTACTTTTTTCTTCTAATTGTCTAAGCGGAGACATTTTGTATATGCACAAATTTTGTTATTCCGTTATCATCTTACTAATTTATCTGTCTACTACTACTCACTTAACCCCCTCTTTATAGAAATATGCACGGCAACTATGTTTGGATCAGTCTTTGGAGAGAAAATCAAATCTAATAGATCAGAAACCGTCTAAGAATATGTCCTATGAATCTGAGATGGAAAAAACTTTACAGGTAATTTTGAACATGATTTAATATGAATCTAACATTTAAGTAACTTGAATATCCCCATAACTTCTCATTCAGAACAAAAATAGTTCGAGTGAACAATTTTGGTTTCAATAAATTCTTCTTCTTCAGGCTTTTCAATTATAACTCCATTAATTTAAGCATGTAATAGCCAGTAAAGGCAAATTAGAATCAAATCAGAAAGTGTATTGTGGAACAAGTATAAGATGGTGCGGAACAATAGTCAGTTAGTTTTGAATGTTCAAGGTGAATGAGAAAATGGGATAAAATGAAATGAAATAATATAGTCGACTAAAGTACAGGTCTCGAGATTGTGTGTAATCAGTGGTGCGTGAGACAATATGAATACTATAGAAAATAAACCAAAGAATAGAGGGAACAGACATAAGTCCAAGGGTGAAAATAAGGATAATAATAATAATGATTGTGAAATAACAACGACGATGTGTTGTAAACTTAGAAGTTCTATTGGTAAATAATTGCCAGGGAACTATGCTCCACTTGAAGATTCAATTAATGGGCTTGGCTATTATTGTCAATATGCAGATGATACCTTAATCGTTTGTGATGCGAATTTTAATGAAGAAGAGCTTCTGAATGCTGTTAATAGTGTTCACGCAGGTATGCAGTTTGCATGCGAGGAAGAAGAAAATAAAAGAATACGTTTCCAAGACGTCCTCCACACCATGACCACAGAGGGATGTCCACAAATGAACCTATTTAGAAAGAAGACTCGAACGGTTCAGTACACCCAGTTTCATAGCTTCACACCGATTGAATACAAAAGAAACTTAGTTAAGTGTCTTATCAAGAGAATAAAACGCGTATGTTCAGAGTAATGCATTGAGGAAGAAGTGTGTAAACGGAAACTTACTCAACAAAAGAATGTATATTTTGATACTCAGAGACTTGATGCTTCTCGAAAACCACTCCCAACGGGCTCCTGCAGACTTTCATCAATAAATTCATTGACTCCGCGCCGAAGACGAGATGACTGATGGGAAATGATGAGCAACAAAGAAAATCAGAAGTGAACCACCCAAGAACTCACTGCCCAGAAACACGCAGATGGAAATTTGGATTGATTGAAGATACACTACTCTGCGGAAACTTTTAAGTAACATTACACACTAGACCATTGATTGAAAACCTTCCCTGTGTAGAAGAGAGTTGGACATCCTAGGATTAAACGGAGGAGATTGTGTGACAAATGAATAAGTGCTAATAGGTAATTCTGGGGCTAGCTAAAACGGACAGCAGAGAATCGAGGGGAATAGCTATTTGCTGATGAAGTGCCGTGTTCCATTCGCTACCCAGGGGAATAATAACAGTCAAGCCCCAGTGAGTGGGTACTGATTGAGAGTGCTAAACTAAGACGAAACTGCTCTCTAGTACACTCTAGGTTTTCAATGGTTCTCTAAGTGATGTCACCTAATGAAGAAAACTGTAACCAGTCGAATCCCTGCAAGCCAACACTTTAAATATACGTGTTGCATTTGGCCTGTGTCTGACGAAACCTCATTCCAACTGTTGTTCGTATACTGAATCACTTGACAATATTGTTTATAACTGATTTTCATTTAATTAAAACTAGTGAACATATTGTCTCGAAAGACTTTTTAACGTTTGACACAAAAGTTCATCTAGAGGTTTCAGTTAAGTTTCCGCATTCTATCCACCAGGAGAAACTGTGATACATGGTGTTTAGTACAAATATATTTTTAGCTTTTGAATCGCATGCTTTGTATTCAAGAGAAATACTATAACTCACTGACTGAATGACTGACTGACTGACAAGTAACAATCGGAATTTCGTACATAAATGCATTAGACTTTGAGAAAGCACACACTGCAACTAAATAACAGATATATGATAAACTTATTTTTCTGAGATAGGGAATAACATCATGAATAGTGTTATACATTGTTCGAGATCCATATGTTAAGAAGAAAGGACTACGACAACGCCATTTTCAGCTCATTTGTGTCATGCTAGCAAGAACAGTCAAAAAACAATTCTTGGGATCTTAGCTACTTGAACCCCCTTGAATTTCTGATTCTTAAACTATTCAAATAACTTAGATTTCTTACCTAACTCAGCATCAATTATCTTGTTATTATATTGAACATGAGCACCTGAAAAATACACCTATACTCTATAGCTGGTATTCTTATCATACATTCTAGCTGTGACAGCTCAGAAATAAGACGAAACGGACTGCTGAACACTACTTAGGACTACTGAGGATGCGAATCAGAGGATACCAGGCGAGCTTTAGAGGATGGTGACTAGCAGGGAAATCCAGGATGCGCATTTCGTCCTATTTAGGACTAGTCCACTGGAAATACTTGCACTCTCCGGTGAGTCACGCTGTTCCCACTAAGGCTCTAACCCAGCACCCACCACCAACTGTTGTAATGGATAGCTCTTTGGGGTTTGAAAAGTTGAATAAAGAGGTTCGAGCCTCAATGGGAACATCATCACTCACTGGAAATTGCACGTACATCTAGCAGACGAGTCCCTAATAGGACGAAATACACATCATGGATTCCACTGCTATTCACTGTCCACCAAAACACTTCGAGTTTCATTTTTGTGCGTTCTGAGATGTGTGTCATTCAACTGATGCTATGCGTGAGTAAAGTAAGTTCAGAATCATCCGAGAGATGGTCATCGCTGCTATTATTAATACCTGTTCTGTAGGTAGTTTCCGAAGGCACAACAACATTTGAGAATAGATACGCTGTCACAGTATTGGCGAACTGTAATTAAGTCCTTACAGTTTGGAAAAAAGGGAGATGGAGAACATTATTCAACGAAGACAATTGCAGAAAGGAAAATGAGAAGAAAGTGCCAGCAGGCTTATTTCTCTCCCTTGAAATACAAGTGACTGATTAAGTTTCTAAGAAAATAAATTCACTCTCCTTTGAACAGTTTAAGTTTACCTGGAAGAGAACTGCTCACATTGAGAAAAATGAAGACTGGTTAGTTCTTTTTAAAAGAATACTGTTTGAAATTTGAGACACTGAGTTGTTGGGATACGATGTAATATAATATGATGAGAAGAAACTGTTCACGAATTGGTATTTTCACCTTTCGTTTAGGTTTATTTTATTTCGGTGATCAGGAAAGTCTTAGCGGACGCAAGAACCCTGAAATTCCCTCTGATTAGAAAAAAGCAGTTAGCATTATGCCTCACACAAAACAAAAACCATTAACACAGTAAGAGACCAGGACTCCTGGTCAATTAACTTCTAAAAACCGATACGTTTACTTGACGGTAGGAAGCCTAGAAAAGAGGGGAGGTTGCGTGTTTGGCTAGTAACTCACATCTATACCAAAGAAACTTCAATTCTTCTTCCAGTCATATGTCCCACTCGTAATGCGAAGGAATGAATAAAATAAAATGACGCCTCCATCACCTTTGGCTAAGCATAATAGTAGAGCTGTTGGAGACTTAATGAATTTATGTAATCTCAAGCTAAAATAAGCTTTAGAAACATTCAAATCGACTTCAGATGTAGGATGGATCAGTAGATTAGAATGTGGAATGGTCGTTGCAAAACTTCTATTATCTAACAGACTGTGCTAACACAGTTGCTCACAGCTGACTGTAATATTGCTTGCAATCGAGAAATTTATAAAAATAATTTTGTAGGTCATAAAAGTATGTTACACGATAAATTAATTCCAGACCCTACACTATACATCTATTGCGATCACTGCTTTATTAATGGCTTATACTTTGAAGCTAATTTTCTTAAGCCATTTGCGATCTACATTCATTATTGCATGGTCTTTCTTATATAAAAGAGTTTGGAAACTGCTTGAATACTACGGCATTACCGTAGAGCACTATCAAGTGATTCACAGCAGAAAACTCAGCGAAGCGTTTGAAGTGAAGACAGAAGTGAAACAAGGCTTTCGGTCTGCAATCTCCCGGGATATACCTGATTGTGATGGGGAGCGAGATTGAAGGAATACGCTAGACCGAGAAAATAAATTTCGGAGATCTCGATTTCATGGATGACTTATGTTGAATATCAAATAATGTAGAAGATATACAAATTAGACATACAAAACAGCGAGTACAAGACTCTAACACAGAAGTGATGAAGATATTTAACTGACACTAACAAGCATAAATCATCATCAACTAGAGGAAACTATAGGTAGTCACTATTTTCATTTTCCCAGGATTTTCAACACCAGCGTTAATTCAGTTCTTCTATATGATTCAGAGACCTGGCATTTCATTAGGATTATTTCCAGCAAGCTGTAGACTATTATTAACATCTTCGTTCGCCCCATACCTACGATTGGCAACGCAGAACTCTGGGGAAAAACCATCGAGTAACCCAAAACCCAAAAAAATATTACGAAGAAAATAGAGATGGTTAGGACACACGGTGAACAGACCGCTGGGCAAAATCGCGCGAAAGGTAGGCCCTCGATTGTAACCTGAATGGAAGGCAAAGAGTCAGGTATCGGAAGGTAACCTGTTGGAGATTGGGTGGGGAGGAAATGGGAGCTTAAAGTCAGTCAAGTAGCCAGGTAAAGATGATCACGGAAAATGATGTGCTGTTGAATCCTTATGCTCTACTCGAGAATAAGAATAAAAATAACAAGTTATGGGATCCATACTCGACGGTCAACCCACTCTGTCTCCCAAACACAATTGTGGACGTGGATTTAGTCCAGTGTTCTAGTGAAATTGAAAGCTACTGAGCAATATAAAACTGACAGTGAACCGCTAATTCATAGCTCTACAATTTTTTTTCACTGTTTCAATATACAAAATAAGGATTATAACATTTTGTGAATAAACACTAAGGGAAATTTTTGCATCTCTCAATTTCTTTCTTTCTTTCTTTTCGTATAGAAGTTAAATGATGTTATCCAGTTAAGGCAACAATTACTTCAGGAACGTGCGACGCTACAATATCAATTAGACGTATTACTACAAAAATCTGTAGATAATGAAGATGATGATGTTGAAGACGGAGGTGTTGGTGGTGATGAGGGTGGTGGTGACGGTGGCCGGTTCGCTGGTGATGATGATGATGACAGTAGTATGTTGCATGCAAAACAAGTGAGGCAATTTTTTTTGTATGTTTTTCCAATGCATTTCCTATCACCACTTTACTGAAGACTGTACACGTGGAATAAATTATTCGTATATATTTGAGACGCTATTATTCTGAATTAGAATAAAAACCAAGAGAGTCAGATGAAGGTATTAAACGGAATGATGGGCAATCGATTACTGTCATTATGGCTGGTTAACTCATATAATTCATGACAAGTAGTTGCTTCGTGTGTTGGTGATACAGTGGTAGAGTACTCGCCGACCATGCAGGTGGTCCAGGGTTCGATACCCAGCCACTGACGCACTCTTTTACGTTGCTAAATCTGTAATAAGAGTGGTAAAGAGGTTGGAAGGTTAGCCAAGAGGCTAGAAAGCCCATCCTGTAAAACTAATCATTGGCAAAGACTCGCCGATGATATCAGCCGGCGGTGGGGCTAAAATTCGCGTATTGACAGAAGTTAGAATTCATGACGTGGTCATTATATTCCATCCTAGTGGCGGAATGGTCAACGAACTGTCCTCGCAATTTGAAGGTAATGCATTCAATCCCATTGTGGAGTCATGGATGCGTACCGCTGATGATTAGCAACCCAGGTTCTCCAAATGATATCAATTCGTGGTCAGGCTTGAAATCATTTTAATTCTTATAAACTGACACTTAAAAATTTGTAAAATAATGATTACTTTGAAGAACAGGTAAATGAATAATGGAAGAATACGAAGGTATAAATATGTTAACTGGATTAGCTAGAATAGTAGTCATAATAAAGTCAGATAATAGTTACATGGATAGCGGACTTTATAAAGTAGATGACCAAGGCAAAGAAAAAGGCTAGGTGATACAACTACTTTCTGATTTTTCTTTCTCTACTGTGTAAACGCTCGCCGACCACGCACATGGTCCAGGGTTCGATCCTCTGCCGACGCACTCCTTTACCTCGCTAAGCCAGAAATAATGCTGGTGAAGAGGAAAGGTTGGGCATGAGGCTAGCAACCCCATCCTGTAAAATAAACACTGCTACCGAAACTTCAAGCCCCTAGCTTGAAGCCCTATGTTCCACTGGGGAACGTGAAGGAAAAGAAACTGTGTAAACGATTAGATGTTTCGTTCACTGCGCTAGAGTTTTTTGTGCAGATGCAATGCTCAAAGAAGAAGTCAGCGAAATTCGTGATCTTCGAAGAAGAAACGGATATGTGATGAAGCCTTTGAATAAACACAAGCAGAAAGACTAGAGCGCCGACAATTCCGAAAACTCAGTGTTCCTGAGAATTCACAGTTCACTGCAGATTTTATTAGTGCGAGTGTTTCACAACACCTCAGAAAGGCCTTCAAAATGACTTTTAATTCAGCCAATAAATACTTAGTTCACGAAATAAAGGCGGACTGCTTCATTTCATCCCTTCAGTTTAACTACTCCAGTAGGGCTAGTTACACTGTGTGTACTATAAGGCGAGTCCATCGTGGCGTTTTAGAACACCATGCACCTTGATTAGTCAAGATTGAATAAGGCTACAAACAGCTAAGTACTAAACCACTTCGTCAACACTGGACATCAGGTTGAAACTAACGAACCTTTCAAATTTATTTATTGTATTTCGCCCATCCTTTCGCGCACTCTATGAGTACAACTTCAACATATCGTACAGACTGTCGAAATTCTTCCGAACAGGTCAAATCTGTGTATTCGGAAGAAAATTAAGCAGACCCTTTCCTTGGCATGGCCGTCGACTTATATACGACATTCCACAAATGATTTTCTGCTATTCTTGTAACTGCCATTTGACTTTGTTATTTTATTTCGATCACTGTTCTAGCTAATTCAGCCAGCTTGCTTGTACCTTGGTATTATTACGTAATTTCTACTTAGTCATTATTATTTTACAAGTTTTTGGTTATGTAGCAACTTGTTGCCAACTCCTGAAAGTTGCATCATTATTTTCGCCCCTCATGTACCTCAAAATGTTTTATATTTCTTGTTTGACTAGCCAGATATCTGTCGAAAAAGTTTATCGGTTGTTTCAGTTTAATTTGGTTGATTAAAAGACTGACCTTGGCTGAGATGACTAAGTAATATCATGCCTGTAACTGTTCAACCACTGGAATCGAAATCAGCTGTCTAAAGTGCTTATAACATCTCCTAGTTGTTTTAGCAGTTCAGTGGTCCGTTAGCCTCACAGTTCGACTGCAAAAGTTTCATATCTAACCTTGATAGTAGCGTTAGACAAACGAACAAACAAACAGCCTATTAATGTGATTATTCTAAGAGTGAATTACTTATTTTTCATTATCGGGAATGATGAATCCCAAACCTTTTGTTCACTTTACACTCGAAAAGTGTTATGAATTGAACAGTGGTGCAATATGTGTTAATATTCATCTAAGACAAACAATCACACGGCATAAAACGACTTCATTGTCACTTCTTTCAGTATCCTCACGTATTGAACACTAAAACGTATGTGTACGAAATCCAACTGCAAAGAAGAGTAAATATTTTATTTTAACGAGTTGATCACGGATTTATATTAGTTAGAGAACCATTGAAATCCAGCCATGGAGTACTGGACAGCTGTTTCCTCCCACTAGTTTGGGAATCATCGGCAGTACGAACCCACCAACAGGGTTTGAACGCAGGACCTTCCGGTTACAAGGCAAGCTCTTAAACTATTCAGCCACTAAGAGCCGACTCAATGGCCAGACATGAATTCTTGCTTATACCAATTCCTGATTTAGCGCGACTACCAACCAATGTCATCGGTGAGACACCCATCCTCACACTTGACTGGATGGACCTCACTGGTCACGACTTCTCACTGGAACTCAGGGAAACTCCGTCCTGTAGTAAGTCACTGGCGAGCATCAGATTAATTTTCCATAGTCGGTTTGTAAGGATTAGTTTGGTTTCAATGAGTTGATCACGGATTAATATCAGTTAGAGAAACACTGAAAACTAGCCATGGAGTGCTAGACAGTTGTTTCACCCTAGTCTGGGAATCATCAGCAGTACATGGTCAACTCGTAAAAACAAAACTAATCCCTACAAACCAACTATAAGGAATATATTATATTGTTGTATTGTTTCTAGCCTCCTAGTCAAACCTTCCTGTGGAACGTGTTAAGTCCGATTTAGGAGTTTATCGACCCAGAATTGAATCAGGACCACTTGCATGGGTGGTGAGCACCTCACCATTGTGCCACTGACGCAATGGTGCATATCTACATGCATATTAGTACTGAGTTTTACTTTATTGTCAAACTAATTGTCGCCTGCTGAAAAAATTAGTACCCACAACTGACTTATTCATAACTACCGCTCATTTATGTGGCTAGCTAATGTAAAATGAAAGCCTTGTTTGCTAATAAATGCGACTAATTTATGTTCAGATATCATTATTATCATCATCATTACGGAGAAGCGTACACAATCCATCCATTCTAACTTATTGAAAACTCTCAAACCTGCAGAAACAAGACGCAAGTTTCCAGAAGATCCTACCAAGCATTTTTCTTTCATCGAGCTGGTTTATATATACACCGAAGGTGCATCCAAAAAGGAATCATGCATGTATATCTTTTTGTTATTGCTTAATCTATTCTCAATGGCTTACATTTTTTTTCATTTGAATTACTTTTTAGGAAGCTGTAGATTCGAAATCCAGAGAAACTGTCGAACAACTCAAAGTAAGTTAACATTTTTTTAAAATATCGACACTTTTAATTTACCTAGAAATTATTCATTCAGTATGTGCCATGATTAATCAACTTATATAGAAATGTAAGTATTCATAAGAGGACACAGTAGACTGGCGGATATAAATAGCTAGTTATCAGCTACAGATAAGAATAGGGGTCAATTCGGTTGGATCAATAAATTCTTATAGTGTTAGTATTTTAGAAAAATGGCTCGCTATTGGCTTATAATGATTGGATTAATTCGAACAGGCAAGATGTTTAAGTTACCTATTGTTTTTTGCTTTAAATTTTAGTATACCACTGAAATAAAATATCTTGTTCTCGTAGTCTGAAGGTCTCCTGTTCGATCTCCAGATGATTCATAGGTGTGAGCTGACGGAAAGCTGAAGACTGAGAGGGAACAGCCATCCAGCGTTCTCTGGCTTTTAGTGATATGTAGAGAAACTATCGGTTTTTTTATATAAATATTATAAACCACTGGGAAATGGATTGCCATATATACATTGGGACACTATGCACTCTAAACATAAAGAATTCAGGTAGTTGAATGTACAACAATAAAAATTATACTTTTAGGCTGCAAACGGTATTATCAAGCTATACAATCGTATATATTTGGTGAATGCATAAAATTCAATTAAAATATTTGTGATTATAATCATAGTTAAATGTCAAGTGGCAAAACAATTCATGTCATATGTAGAATAATTCATTGGATGTATAGAACTTGGAAGAAGTGTGCGATTATAAGATTCATAGGCAAATAGAATAAAATAAAATTTTTTTTCGATTTTCTTTTCATTTCTGTACGTTCCCAGTGGAACATAGGACTTCAAGCTAGGGGATTGAAGTTTTGGTAGCAGTGGTGATTATTTTTACAGGATGAGATTGCTAGCCTCTTGGCCAACCTTGCAACCTCTTTACCAGTCTTATTACTGACTAAGCGACATAAAAGAGTGTGTCAGTGGCCGGAGATCGAACCCTGATCCACATGAGGCGTGGTTGGGAAGCATTTTACCACTGTGTCACCGACGCAAAAAATAAAAACTCTACATAATATTGAATCACATGTTTAGACTTTCTATACGTTACGATGGGAACTTTCCGTAAAAATTAAAAAATAGCAAACGGTATTCACCATACTCAAATCTGCCTTACTCCAATATGTTTATCACACTGATTTATGAAAGATTTATACTGTGATATTGGAAACAACTTGAAGTGAGCCAGTTGTGAATGTGAATAGCGTGGATTGTAGTTTGATTTGCTCACATGCTTATATCTCTGTTTGGTGAAACTTTGATGAAGTCATTTTGAACGGGTGTCCAGTAGTCCAAATGATAATATGGAGAACACTATTCAACGTGTTATCAGCCAGTATTTTCGGGTATGGGCATACAGGGACAAAGTGAATGAATGTGTGTGTGTGTGTTGATCATGGTACATCCGACTGCAGGACGGATACATTTTTAGTAAGCATGTACTGGGAACTATGATCAGATATGAAACTGCTTATCACAGGTGTTTCATACTACTCTCTTTAACATAATCTAGGAATACATCCGAACTTCTCTGCCTGATTTTGTCATTATTATTCACTCATTCATACACATGAACTCGAAATATATTTCTGATTGGGCACCAGGCAGTAACTAGTGTAATGTGTCTATCAGTCAAGCTTGTAATGTGGACACCATGCTAGGTAGATCGCCATTACGGTGCACAGTGAATTGTTGGTATTAGATTGTTGGAGGCTATCGGCAGGAAACATTTGACGTAGGTTTAATGCTAGTTGGCACTCATCAGCAAGGCGTATCTGCAACCCCGAAGGAACTATCATGTCCCTTCTGAGATTCGACTCCACGTCACCCAGTGACTGCTGAAGTCACGGACTATTCGGCCTGGTTCGCGATTGACCTCCTGTAGGAGTGTGTTGGACTGATAGAATTCAGTCTGCATCGAAGATAAGACTAGACACGTTACACTAGTTACTGACTAGTGTCCAGTCAAAAATACCCAGTACAGTCCTACAGGACCACCAATTAAATGAAAGAATAATATTCCTAATATTATTATTCCTGAACGGAAAATGCGGCTTCAGCGACACATCACCATTCCACACTGCTCTCTGAAGTCTTATTTAGCTGGCTCCACAATTACCCATAATCTTTCATTTCTTCTAAATAAAATCTTCTCTATGTCACTCTCGGATGTCCAACTCGTTTTCTACTAGGGTTCCACAAGACGGTGTAACTGGAGCACAATGTCACTCAATAGTCTCTTCAGTGTAAGTGTATGTCCAATCCATCTTAACTTCCTTCTGCATACTTATTGGGTGACAGGTTGTTAGTCTGTTCGCTGCCACAGTTCTTTGTCGTTTATCCGTTTTTGTCAGGATTCTCACCTTCAGAATAAAGTGAATACATCTGTTGATGAAAGTGTGCAACATGATGATGGAAGTGATGCAAGTCTGTGAATCATATAGTGGAGCTGACTGACCTGATCTAAATTTCGAAACTTCTGGACTTTGCTGAGTTCACAGGATTTCCACAATGAGATTTCGAAGTAGTGAGGGTCTATCTTGCCTTGAGATACTAACCCGTCCCGCTTGCAGTGACGTGGCAGATAACCTTGAACTAAAATGAAATCTTATCATGAACAAATATCCATAAATTAGTCAACTAGGCAGTTGGTTACCGTCAATACTGCTAAGGTTTACTTTTCTTTCGGTTGTTAAATTTGTTATTTTATTAAAACACGGCTCATGATTAGATTTTCAAAAAAAACACAATTTCACAGGATATGACGGATTTCTTCTAAGTTCTTCCCGTTCTCAGTGGAACATATGCCTTCAAGGCTTAAATTTTCAGCAAAACTAATGTTGAATAAATTGGGCGAACTTATCAACCTCATATGGAACCTTTCCTCTTTTACCAACAGAAACACCGTACAGGATAACATACCGCCAATAGCTATAAAGGTTAAAGCATAATTTTTGATCTAAAGACACCCAAACTGCTATCTTCTTCATTTATATACATGAGTGAAATCTATTAGACATTTGAATAAAATCAATATAAGATAATGTACATTCAAAAATAATATTAGTGTTATCAGTGAAGTACGATCAGATGGGAAATAAGATGCTTTATAGTAAAATAAAATAAATAACTTGTCAGAATGTTAGAATGTGAATTGAATTGAATACATCTTAACATTATTTATTATCCCCTGATTCGACTGGTAATAACATTTTCCATAACTCTGGTATTAGCGATGAGGTTGAAATTACATCTAATGTCAAGTACCTTGGACTAAGTATTTCCTCCGATCTTTCCTGGTCCTCTCACATCTGGCTAGTTACTAGAAAGATGTTTCGCTTAACGTTCTACGTTCGGAAGTTTAGGTAGTCTGGTATAAAGCAGTCTTTGCTTACTGCTCCCCATTAATCTTTCCTGGACTACTCAAGAAAGATTTTGCTTTGCTGCGTAGGGCTCTAAAAGCTGTTAGTAGGGGAAGTGGGATATTGTTAAACCAACTGGTTAACACCATTGTGGATAGACATATAATGTCATGTAAGAAACTAGCGAATACTATATTGTCAGACCGCGAGCATCCTCTCTATAAGCAGCTCTCTCCTTGCATTTCATCTGGTAGAACTAGAAGCAACTATAGGAGGCTATATTCCAGGACTACCAAGTACAAAAACTCCACAATACCTTATCTGGCACAGCCATTATGTGATGAAAAATCCGTGAGGTATGACACGATCAACTTACTGCGGCACTCTAACAAATAGTTCCCATTAGCTTTTGTTCTCCTTTCTTTGATACTATTATATTGTTGCTCACAAATTCTATTACACACTAATTTTATATTTCATATCCTGTGGTGCATTGTTTAGAAGGTGAATGCAATGCTGTTCTTTTTATTTCTTTTATTTTTCTTTTTTCTTTTTGTTGTTGTTGCTTTTTTATTTTTAAAATCTTATAAAATTTATGAAGTAATTAGATGCAGTATTGTAATGCACACTGAAAATTCCATACATGTACCACAAATACTGTTTGGAATAAAGCTATTATTATTATTGATGAGTTCCTTCTGTTGCATGTGCTGGGTGTAGACTCGTTGAACCACGATTCAGTAATCAACCTCCATCTCTCCACTTACCTTTATTACTTTTTAGAATTTTGACTCTGTCCCACCCTATTAAGTGGTTGTGTGTTAATGCATGCAGTGCTGTAGCCGAGTTTTTTCCTAAATTACTTATTTTCATGGAGTCAATCATTCAAACCTTAGCTAAATTCTTATGTTCTGATAATCTCACTACTCCTGATCTACCAGTTCGACTTATATACTTGACCTCAATCATTGTCATTGCAAGGTATTTTCTAAATTATATTATTTTGTCTAGTTGGGTCTACCTGTTCCTTCAGCTTACACAACTGGTCACTGGGTGAATTTGTAAGTTTGAATGCCACCCTAATTCCTTCTTTATTAAGAATGCTACCACGCAGGTTCTCAGATGTCCCCTCCTTACATGGTATAACAGTGAATGCCTTATGTTCTTTCTTATTTATGTTATCATTATTAGTTTCACCATTATTTTTATTTTGCTTTTGACCTATACTGATCTTGCTAATGAATTTTATAGGATAGATATTTGTTACCAACGCTTCTTTTATCTGTTTTATTTCATCATTAATTTCGTTTATTGTACTACTTAGGGCTATTGCTCGGTTTGTTAGACACTTTACTAAGCCTGCCTTTATGGATAACGGATGAGGTGATGAATTCAAGTCTAAATATCCCTAATGGAATTATACTCTACCATAGTGACCAAGTTTTTTCCTTATACACCAGTAGAATTTGAATGTATACAAGTCTTATAAATTCGAATCAATAACTTCATAATCCATCGATCTATATTGGGATAGGAAAGATTATTGATTTAAATTAATTCAACTAGTTCATATACATATACATATACATATATATAGGACATTTCACAAGGGGAAAAAAAAGCCCAAAAGAATACAACGAGTATTTTTTTTTAAATAAAATAATTCAACAAATCTTCTCTAGATAATAACAAAAAGTCGTAAAACCAAACGGAGGAAAATAACAATCATAGTTTTGCATTGAATGGATTGGAAAGAGAGTAGATAAAATCTAAGGCTTAGAGTATGACTTCAGATTGAATTGGATGGTTTTCATCCTATTTGAGAGTCGTCAGCTGGTTGTACTTGTATCTCAGTGATAACAACTTGGCTTTCGGAATGATTAGTGTTGACTTTAAGTCACAGTGAGGACAATACCACTCTCTGAGATACAGGTATGTCCAGCTGATGATGATGATGATGATAACCAAACACGGCGAAATGCGCATCCTGAATTCCAGTGTTAATTACCCCCCTCCACTCTAAACATTATGACTTTGAAGGACTTTTCAAACGGAGCTGAATGTCCTGAATTCACAAGATGTTCTCTCACCGAACTATGTACACCCTTGCGTCCTTCCTTGCAGCACATTTAGTTCCATTCGGAAAGTCACCCAAAGTCATATACAAGATCCGGTTAAACCTTACAAAGGGAGTGAAATCATGGCATCTGGGATTAGCTGAGGCACTAGCTATCCAAAGTTCAAGTCCAAGCTATTGATTCAAAATAATATTTAAATTATGCTCAAATTATGGACCCATTCTTCTTGGTTTCTTCTCATTCTTTTGCGTTCCGAGGCAAATGTAGTGTTACAGACTTGAAGCCTTGAAATTTCAGTGTTGCTGGCATTGTAACAACAGAAGACTAAGGCCAGGCAACATATCCTTTATTTAAGAAATCGTCAGATATTTATAGATTTCTATGTACATTATGATTAGCGTTGTTGTTAGGAGAGAAGCAACGCCTCCTGATTGGTGGTTTCTCACTGAATGTTAATCTTTCATCTCTTTGTGGCCGTTTCTTGAAGTTCAGATTATCTATCTGCAAGTTGTATCCGCCTACGCAAAGTCTGCTGTGATTGATTGTTGGATCAGTCTTTGTTCATATTTTTCTCACGACCAATATTGAGGACATAAACATTGACGTAAAATACACTGTCTACCAATTTGGCTAGCGGCCAGGTCTTACCACAGTATTATTTTTTATGAGTTGAGGTTGCTAGCCTCAGGCCTAACCTTTCCTCTCCCCCCCCAAACTTTTTACCGGCTAGTAAAGTAGGTAAGTACTAGGAATGCGTCTGCGGGGAATACAGCCGTGGTTAACTGGCATTCTACATCTGAACCACCGACCTTCTCAGTCTAATCAGACAGTTAGTGAACATTTAATTACTCAGGATTGAATAGCATTCAATGCACCCTACTACTTTCTTGTAAATTTCGAAGTGGACAGTGATTTTCTACTTTGAAATAGTTCTTATAATTCATCTCCAACTCCGATGTAAAGTCAGTGCTACTATACGGATCAGAGACTTGGTGCGTCATAAAGAGCATCTCAGACAAACTACAGACCTTCATCAATAGCTGTCTTCGCTCAATACTCAAGATCAGATCGCTGGCCAGAAAAGATCAGCAACAGAGATCTCTGGGAGCGAACCAAACCATCAGGAGCCGATTGTGAAACAAATAGGCAGGAAGAAATGGAGGTGGATTTGCCATACTCTGAGGAAACAATGCATCAAGTGACATCACTAGAGAAGCCATTGCTCGAGTGGAACCCGAAAGGGAAGCGGCGAGTTGGTCGTCAGTGCAAGGGTGACTTGGAGGAGGTCATGTGAAGAGGAGATGAAAGCGTGTGGGCAGACTTGGAGCCAGGTGAAGACTCTAGCAGAGAACTGAACGCAATGGAGACACACGGCTGAAGCCCTATGTTCCTCTAGGAACTAAAGGAAATAATAATAATTCATCTACTCATTCTTTTATGTAATGGCCGACATTCACAAATACCAACTTCAACCCACAATATCAAAATCATTCTAACATGTTTTATTCATCCTGTGTTTGAATAAATCGATAAAATATGTAATTAATATACATTTTCTGGATGAGAGCTTCCACTGGGTAAACGTTAATTAAAATGACTGAAAATAACAATTATGACGTCAACTAACCAACTGTTAAAAGCTACGAAATAATAGGCTGTCTGTATATTCTTGTTGATACAGGTGAAGTAGAATGGACATCTATACAACGACATTGTTTTCACGCTGTACAGTTGTATTTATATTGTGCAAAATGGCACTAATTGCCACTAAAAATTGCTCAGTCAGCAAACATATAACAAAGAAGAAATATATAATAAGCATGACACTATTAGACAATTCAAGGTTGCCACGCATCTATTGAAGTAAAACTTGAAAGCAGATGTTACATTTTGAAGATTAAAACGTTTCATCTAACGAAAGTTGACCTTTAAAAGACAGTGGACTAATTTCACTCTCTTAGTGATTCTTGGTAACAAAGACACCATCTTCAAACCCTATGTTCCAGAGTTATGAAAATCTACTCTAAAGATTTACTTGACGATAAACTAGAAAACTTTCATACAACGCCTTTGTTTCCTTTAGTTTCTTGAGGAACATTGGGCTTCAGCTGCACGTCAACATTGTGTTTGATTCTCTACCAACGTTTTCACCTGACTACAAATCTGCCCACATGCTTTCATCTCCTCTTCATAAGACCCCGTCCTCCTCCATTTCATACTCGCACTGACATCCAACTCGCCACTTCCCATTCGGGTTCCACTCGAACGATGGCCTTTCTCGTGATGTCACTTCATGGTTTGTTTTCTCAGTGTATGGCCTCCAGTCCATCTCCATTTCTTCCTGCTTATTTGATCAACAATCGGTTCCTACTGGCTTGGTTCGTTCATTGCCAGAGATCCCTTTCATTGATCTTTTCTGGACGGCCGTCTGATCTTGAGTATTGAACGAAGACAGTTGTTGATGAAGGTCTGTAGTTTGTTCGAAGTGGTCTTCGATACGCCGCGCCAAGTCTCTGATCGTATAGTAAATAGCACTGACTTCACACTGGAGTTGAAAATTCACATCTTATTTTTCATTCTGAATGCTGTTGACCTCCACACATACTTAAGAGTAACGAAAGCTTGTTTTGCTTTCCCAATCCTTGCTTTGATATCCTTGTGAATTCCGTCCACCTGTAGTTGGAACGATGCTTCCCAGGTAAGTAGGTAGGTCAGTAGGTAAAGGAGATTGCTACTTTCAGATTTCTCCCATTTATGCTGGCTGATTGTTGTCCGTTGTTGTTGCTGTGGATGTTGCTGTTGGCCAGTAATCTTCATCATCACCTCTGTTTTCTCTATATTCACCTGAATTCCCATCTTCTGTGGATGTTTCTTCTGTCGACATGTTGCTTTTCTTTTGATAGGAAACATCAGATAGATTATGAACATAATTAGGTATATCCACTGGGTAATTTTTCCCTCTCTTTAGCATTGCCTTGTTTACCAGCCTATGGGAAAACTAGGAAAGAAGGGAGGTTAATCATGTGGCTGGCAATCCTACTCCATAAAAAAAACATCAGCATCGCTACTGAAAATTAGGAGCTCAGGCTTGAAGGTCTACTTTCCTTTTGGAATGCAATAGGGCAAGGAAGCAAAAGCAAACACAAAACCCCACATTATAACAGACAGCCAAATGGCTTCCGTGGAAGCATTATTTGTTATTTCAGTATGACCACCATTCCCTCTTTTTTAAGCACATTATCGAGTAGTAGGCTGAGCCAGTTCTATAAATGTATTGGCCGGGCATCAGACGAAGGCTTCCAGTCCGGTTCAAATTTTAAGATGAATTTAGAACAGTCTCTGTTATACACATTTGATCATAGGGAATAAAAAGACAGTTGCAGCGAAGAAAATTTTCTTTTCGACTTCGTCGAAAAGAAAATTTTCTTCGCTGCAACTGTCTTTTTAGTCTCTGTTATTTTAGAAAATGAACTGATATTTATATTTTAAAATAATATGCCTTCTTCAAAAAGTTATCAGTTACACATTTCCTCATGTTATGGGTTTGTCCTTTCTCTGTATATTATAGTCGAAGATTAAAGAGCTGGAGAAACGCTGTAAACTACAACTGCTAAGACATGAAGAAATTCTCCTGGAAATTGAAGATGTACGCAAAAGAAGTTGTACAAATTTAGGCAATTCTTCAACTTTGTCCTCATCAGTAACATTATCTCCGTCAGCCCTCAACACAACAGCATTATCACCAAATTTTGTACAGAATCAGTATCAGTATCAGAATGCTGTCAACGCGCCTACTTCATCGTTATCCTCGTCACTGTGTCTTGTAGATATGCCCACCAGTAAAACACATTTATCCCTAGGTACACCTAAATTAGATCAAGTTAAAGTACACGGACGATTGTTACAAACTGGAAAACAGAAAAAATCAACACAATCAGCTGAAATGCATTCATTGCTGGCCCAGTCATCAATGAGTATTGAACCAAGTATATCAACACCACGTAAACAAGTTAAAGGAAGACTGTTTAGAAGTAACACTGAACCTCAAGTTTCTGGTAGGTTTTTAAGTGTGCATAAATGTAATTACATCCTGTGTGATTTTCTTCTAACCATTAGCCATATTTTGAACTGGAAGTCTTCAAAGTAGATGCTTCCATTCAAATACTAGGTAGCGGACGGGAATTCCTTTTCATCGTATTTAGTACTTATCCATTGGATATACTCGCATTCATGTATGGTTCTCCTCACTTAGAACGGAGCCTGGCTCGTTTAGTGAATGTCTGCTAACGAACTACTATATCAAGCAATAGTACTAACAATCTACTGTGCAACAAAACGAATGAAATTAGTCAAAATGAACAGAATTGTCCAGTTGCTGTAAAGCGTTCCTTCTGAATAGTTTGATGCAGTAAGCCACCGAAGAACTTGTTCACATTTTTAAACAAACTTTTGGTTTTCAGCACAAACCACCATCAAACTAGAAATGTGAGAAAGTCAACGAATGTTTTATGGTTGCTTTCTTCTAGCATGCAACTCAGTAGAGCTAACCAAAAATGAAGTTATTTAGGTTGAAACAAATATGTTCATGAAAACTTGGTAAGTCAAATTCTGACGAGTTTGATGGCTTCAGCTTGATCATTTGTAAGTTTCTGGAGGTGTAGTAGCCAAAAGTTCTAAACTATAGCCAAAATAAACTTGAATTGTTAATCCTTACCTGGCCAGCGTCAGTTCTTGACATACTCACGTTAATACTTCACTTTCAAAATTAGCTTTCTCTGAGTAAATCAATCTTAAGCACTATGACAATCTGGAACTGCATTACATATTAGTTTGTTTATTAGATACATCACACAGTGTGAAACAGTATTACTTACTGGATGACAAAGTTTCCAACAAAATTTATTGCTGTTCATAATTATATCAATTATAATCACACGACTTTGAAACTTGACTTCTGCATTTTTCTTTGTTCTCTCCTATTTGTCGTAGGAGGAGTCAAATTCTCCAGATGTCCGGCTGGACAGGTGTTGAATCATTCCTATTATACGTGTTTGCAGTTGATTCGATAAACAAAGCTCCCGTTGTTATCAATCTCTCCTTCCACGCTGCTGTTACATTAGATTTTAAAACTCCAATCTTATCCCATCCATAACTATAAACTCCAGTAGGATGTATGGTGTTCTCAAAGTTCATAAGACAGGATACTCTATAAGACCTATAGTTGATTTTAGAAATTCACCTAATTATGAATTATCTAAATATTTAGCCATGGTATTAAATCCCCTAAAAATTCACTCGAAATCTAGACTAACTAATTCTTATGAACTCAAACACAGATTAGATAATTTAATATTAGATAATGAAGAAAAAATGGTTAGTTTTGACATTGTCAGTTTATACACACGTATACCAATAAATATGGCTATGGAGGCAGTCAGAAACAAACTCATTTCTGACCAAGAACTCGAACTTAGGACAAAAGTGCCACTTGAGGACAGTATTCAAATTTCAAGGGAAAATATACAAATCAATCGAGGGAGTTGTCATGGGATCACCAATATCCCCGGTCGTGGTAGATATATTCATGGATAGGTGTGAAAACAAAGCGATTGAAACCCTCAGCCCCACACCAAAAGTATGGTGGAGCTATGTTGATGACACATACACTGTACTCACAACACAGGATATAGATAGATTTTTTGAACACATTAACTCAAAGGTGGAGGCAATTCAATTCACTTATGAATTGGAAAGTCAAGAAGGGGAGGTTCCAATGTTAGATTGTTGCGTAAAAAGGAGAGAAGATGGGAAGTCGAAGACTAGTGTTTACAGGAAACCCACACATTCATGCAGATATTTAGACTTCCGATCATTCCATCCTAAGTCAGTTAAAATAGGATTAGTGAAATGTTTAAGTGACAAAGCACAAAAACTATGTAATACCAAAGAAAATCTAAGACAGGAAGTGAGCTATATAAGAGAAGCTTTGAAACTTAATAATTACCCAAATAAATTAATTTGAAAGTATTTGGGAAAATATAAAAATAAGATAAATAATGATAGTGGTGTTAATGATAATAATAATGATGAAAATAATAATAATAGTAGTAGTATTAATGACGACATGCATGTCAAACATGCGCAAGATAATGACAAAACCAACAATAAGGAATCTCAATCATCAGTAGTACTTCTACACAATGAAGGAACCTCTGAAACCATCTTACGGAGAATTCTTAAAAATGCAGTCATAATACTGGCATTCAAACACGTAAACTCAGTTGGAAATAAGCTTTGTCGGTTAGAAGATCAATCCTGTGAAGCCAATTTAGTTTATCCAAAATCCTACTGGAATGACTGTCGGGTAAGATGCAAAGGGCAAAGTAGTAGAACTGGGTTAGTCAGTCAGTCATTCAGATTAACGGAGCACAATAGCCCTATCAAATCTACATTAGTTGACCCTGATAAGATAGCAAGAAACCTGGAGAATACTTCAGCTATAGCACTCACTACATGCAATTTCACACAACCATACAATAGGATGGGATAAGATGACAGTTTTGAAATCTAATGTAATAGCAGCGTGGAGGGAGAGATTGATAACGGATGCTTTATTTTTTGTCGAATCAACTGCAAACACGTGTAATAGGAATGATTCAACACCTGTCCATCCAGTCATCTGGAAACGTCTACTACCCCTCCTACGACAAAAAGGAGAGAACAAAGCAAACTATGAAACTCAAGTTCCGAAGTCGTGTGATTATAATTGATTGGATTATGAGGACTAATAAACTGTGTTCGAAACTTTGCCATCCAGTAAATAGTACTGTTTCACACTGTGTGATATATCTAATAAACAAACTAATATGGAATTACTTATGACTACAGTGCCCAAGGTTTATACATATATTAACGGGACTGCATAACTTTCTCTATCTTTTATCAATATTTTAGAAGGCAATGATCCCAACCTTGTTGAATTATTCCAAGTGATTGAAGAGTCCAATAAGTCAACAGGTGAGTTTCTCCTTATTATCTCACGTAGCGCAACAATTAATTAGTCATTACAATATAGATTTTATTAAAAATTGGAACACTGAGAATTATAATGTCTAGCTTTTGTTTACCTGACAATGGAAAAATGATTCACATCACTATAACTACCACAATTTTCAAAATATAATATGCTGGAATTCAATTGGTCACAGGTTTGATCATGAGCTAACGTCAGAACCATTGAAAAACCATGGAGTTCTGAACAGCTTTTCCGTCCTAGTTTGGTAGTACTCACCCGCCGGGGTTCGAATCATGAACTTTCTGTCTAGAAATCGAGCTCAGAGAGCATTTAGATACTGAGACCCGACTCATTGGCACTTGAATCTTAGCTCCTGCCAATTCATGACATGTACAGAGCAACCACCAGCCAGTGTCACAGGCGAGTAACTGTTTTGTCACCTTACATGGTGGTCCCCGCTGGTCACTACTTCTCAGTAGAACTCCAGGAAACTTGCTGTATACAGACAGTCTCTAGTGAGCATCAGATTAATTTTTAGGTAATGATGATGTCTAGTACTCCATGATTCTCAAATAATTATCTAAATGATGTTAGCGCGTTATCTAACCGTCATAATTTTCATTGTGAGGCAAAAAGAATATTAATATGGAAGAACGATAGAGTTTCACTGCATATAACAAGTCACAAAGAGTGAATACATATGCACCAGCCACTGAGAACGAGGATTTTGAGCTATATCACCGATTGTCTTCAGTCTTCATTGGTACTAACCATTCCGAGAACCCCAACCAATTAGCCTAATCCTCCCTGCTTGGCTTGAAAAACCAACTGTTGAAGACTTCATGGATTGATGCTGTGTTTTTGTTTGACCAACGCTAGTTCTTTTCCAACCTAATCGATTCTTTGTCAGCTAACATCACCCGTCGAGGAAGGAGATGGCTAGAAATGCAAGCGTAAAACGTATCCTGACCATCTCAACTTCAAAACCTAGTCGATTGATTTTCTCTCCTTACCTTGCACTTGACCGACGCCTAAACTCAATATTGCTCAGCCAATTATACCACATAACACGGGATTTAGATAGAACGCAGACACCTATGATCAGTGACAACTAGGCGGCCTTTTCATGTCTTCCACTTTCAGTGACTATGTCCCACAGCCATAAAGGATGATGGAGAGGACTGCTGAGCAGCACATACGTCCTTTGGTTGACAGACAGCCAGATATCACGTCAACTAGGTCAGAGTTGGCGCAAGTTGGCAGACAAATGCTAAATGAGCCTTCTGCATCCATGCTGAGATTTCGTCAGTGATTAGTCTGTTTGCGCTGGTTCATGCATCTCTCCAATTAATTGAAGTGGTCAACACGCTCTAACAACCACTTCACCCCCAATTTTTAATCTAGCCGCTAGTCAATGTAGTGCAGTTCTGTAGAATCACCTAACATTTGACGAGAGAGAATCGCATGCCAAACTGTCGTATTAGTGTGGATATTTTATTTTGTCAGTGGGATAAACAAAGACCATGAACACTGTTCATTTATTTCAGAATTCAAACAAGTGTATAATAAAACTGACGATATACGTTATGATTTCGCTAGAATTAGGAGACACTAACTCCACTAGATTTTTAACAGTCTCTTAAAGTCAGATACCATCAACCTTTTTTGATAAAAAGTCATTTTTGAACCACTAAGACATTCATATACGACTTAATTTTTGCTTGAAAACATCGTCAGCATTATCAAGATAAACATAAATCAAACAGGTGTTTCAATTACATTACAGGATGAATTTTTCTCAAAATTTTTTCAAAAATGGTCTAAAACCATACTCCCCGACCCCCAACACCCCCTCTATTCCCAACTCTCGCCTTGTATCTCATCAAGTAGAACCAGAAATCAGTATAAAATAATTTATGCTCGTACAACCAAGTACATGAACTCAACGATACCATATTTGGCCCGTGTTCTAAGTGACAGAGACAATGTTAGGCGCGAAACCTATGACTTGCTTTGTTGTTAATAACATAATTTTAGGCTCTTTTATTTCTCTCTTATTTTGCATTCTATAGTGAACTCCTTCTTAAACATACTTAGCTACCTAAATTATTAACATTGGCTTACTTTTCTTTTGTACTTTACTCTATTCCTTTTTTTGTGTATTTACTGGTTCCGACTATATTAGCACTATGAGTATTACAAAATTATCCTGTCATTAACCATCATGTAATTATTAGTTTTTGTGGTTGTTGTTTGTTTTTTTTGTTCGGCAATATTAACTGACAATCTTGGTTGTGAACGCCACTATCACCCTTAAAATTTTGTATTATGAAGGATTACTCACACTACCACTACAAACACTGCATTAGACCTGACAATAAAAAACGAAACAACAACCCTGAAATGTTATTTTATGATTGTTTAGTGTTGTTTCAACCTACATTAACTGATCATCTTGGCGATTAACATTCTTAAATATCATTTCATAACTTCTCGTATGACTACAGCTTTACTGTCACCATGCATAATCATATCATAGCTTCCACTACCCAATACTGAGATATTATTTTATGTTGTTTATTTCTTTTCTACTTCTTGGTATTTTTTCGCAATTTTTATTATTTTTGTGTTTTTTTTGTTGTTATTGTTTTTATATTTATTCTTTGAAATACTCCTTTTAAATGTTTGATAAAATTAGATGCAAATATTGTAGATATGTGCTGAAAATTCCACACTGTACCACTGGTACTGTCTCTGGAATAAATCACCACATGCTCCAAACAGCGGAGGCTATTGCAATTCGCCTCAAACAACCAGTGCTCTGTGTTCAAAAGAAACAAGTCCAGCCCCCACTACTGCCCTGGCCCTCAGTCGAGACTATAAACTCATGAATTTGTACTATTACCTTTCCTTATTCTTCTGACATTCATTTTATTTTATGTTGATGCTGTTCAGCTGTAATTTACCAATATTATTGATTTGATGTTATGTAAAATAATAATGTTGTTCATAAGACTAATTCATTCACTCATTATAATGTATATATAATTGTAGAACCTGATTATGAATTTATCGAAAAGAGTACTCTTTGTTCCGTGTCTATTCTTTTTAACAAATTATTATTATTATTCAACTCCGTACATCTCATTGTTGTAGTATGCATTTTAATGTCACAGATTCTGCGTAGACTGTGACTGGATGGTAAATAATGCTAAATTTCAACTCAGTAATTATCAAAAGTAAGACTTGATGACCAATGGAATACCGTCCCAGTGGCTCAATGGTACATGAATTCACCTTGTAACCCAGTTGGTCCTTATCACTCCCCAATTTTTGATGGTTTCCTACCTGAAGTCACTCGAAATTATCTTCATCAATCAGCCTTACTTTCGTTTTCACCTTTTCACTTTTTTCTTGTTTTACCTTCCTCTTTTGTTTTACTACGTCAGATGTCCCAGCACCCCGTATGATTACATTAGAGCGTCAATTATTTCAAAGTATACTTATTAGTTGGAAACCACCGGAGTTAAGTTCAATGAATGATGGTAAAATTGTCTCAGCTTATCATATCTACGTGGATGGACAATTCCGATTGGCTGTAATGGCTAAAGAGAAAACACGTGCACTGATAGATAATGTTGATGCAGACAAGGTATGTGATTAGAAGGAGGTACCTTTTTAAACGAAATAAATAGTTACTATGTCTGTTAGCACATAACCTTTTTGTAATATTTTAAGTTTTATTTCATTAGCGAATTGAACGCTATAAATTCCAGTGAGCCTCTCAGAATGGTAAGTACTCTAAAGTATGTTAAGATATTTCAAGTCACTGGAAAGCAATACGGACTTAGTTGTGTTCTCTCAATTGGTTAATTTAATTGCGAAGCTTTCGTCGTCCTTCTAGACAACATTCTAAGCGCGGGTTTTAGCACTGAGTGAATTTATCTGAACTATCCATGAATAATGATACATTTGTATCTCCTAACAACCACTGTCGCGACTGATTGTTAATTTACGTCTCCATTGATCATATTATTATTATTGTTTCCTTTAATTCCTAGAGGAACATAGGGCTTCAGCTACGCGTCTCCATTGCGTTCGGTTCTCTGCTAGAGTCTTCACCTGGCTCCAAGTCTGCCCACACGTTTTCATCTCCTCTTCACATGACCTCCTCCAAGTCACCCTTGCACTGACGACCAACTCGCCGCTTCCCTTTCGGGTTCCACTCGAGCGATTGCTTGTCTAGTGATGTCACTCACTTGATGCATTGTTTCCTCAGAGTAAGGCCAATCCATCTCCATTTCTTCCTGCCCATTTGTTTCACAATTGGTTCCTGCTGGGTTGGTTCGCTCATTGCCAGAGATCCCTCTCTGTTGCTGATCTTTTCTGGTCGGCCATCTGATCTTGAGTATTGAGTGAAGACAACTGTTAATGAAGGTCTGTAGTTTGTTTGAGATGTTCTTTATGACGCGCAGTGCAAGTCTCTGATCCGTATAGTAGCACTGACTGACTTCACACTGCAGTTGAAAATCCGGATCTTATTTTTGAAGCTGAGTGCTGTTGACCTCCACACAGACTTGAGAGTAGTGAAAGCTTGTCTTGCTTTTCCGATCCTCGTTGCTTTGATATCCTCGTCAGTTCCGCCTTTAGTTGAAAAGATGCTTTCCAGGTAGCTAGCATCGTATTTTTATTGATTTTAAATTTAAACTTTATTGTCAGGTGATTTCCTTTCCATCAGCCTGTAAATCTGGTCTGTAATAATGTGTGTTTATTAATCTCTGGCTGATTCACCTGAGTACCAGGCTTCTAGAAATTCCCTGGCATCACTTTCGGTGTTTTTCTCTATTTAAAATATGTCTACATTATCCCAGTCACCAAATTGCTGTCCATAATTATTCACATGCATTAATATGAAAGAATATACATCATGCCATTTTACAATTTATTTGTGTTCTTGCATGAGGAATCCAAGGAGACGCCTACTTTGACGGATGTAATGTTTATTCCAGCTCATACAGTTTATTTTGTAAATGGTATTAATTTTATCTTCTTTTTCTGTTGGATGTTTGAGTCTGCACAATATCGAATTAAGTGATTGTGTTGGCTGGCGTGTGTGTTATATCTATTTCTAACGGTATCAATATTCTAGTTGTTATTTCAGAGATATTTTTATATATGGTAGAATTAATTTTCTTGTAGTCTTTGACGATGGTTTGTTGTCGGTGTTCTGACTCTAGTTTCTCTTATTCGATTTGTTTAAATCTAGTAAACTATGACCTCTTATGGTATTCTTTACTCTGGCATGTATTTAAAATATTTGCAACCTGCTGATTTGCAAGTTTCTACTAAACAGAAAAAGAAAGCATCGACTGGTGGATAGTGACTAGCAATGGAATTCAAGATGAGCATTTCGTCCTATTTAGGACTCGTCATTGGATATAGCTGCATTCACCATTGGGTTATGGTGCTTGTTCCCACAGAGGCTCTAAGCCAGTGGCCAAACTTTCGAAAGACAAGGTGCTATTCACTAGACCACTTGGGCCACGACAGTCACCTCTTGTGCTATAGGTCTTATTCCTTATTCAGTTCAATTTTTAGATTTTCCTGTCGATTGGTTTGCGCTTCAGGTCAGATAGAACTGAGCTGCACGATCTACTGTCAATTAATCTTTTATTGAAAGCTCCTGGACGAAGATAAAATATAATGCAATAAACTCTACTGCGATTTCCGTACAGTATATAAACATTGTTCAGAAAAAGGCTATTATTGTTATTATTATTATTACAATGCACAAAGGGAATCGTCGCTGCTTAGCTTTCTACGAATCATAACAGTTTCGATTCCCCATCTGATACATAATAGTCATTTAGCTCGAAATCCGTTCTACTTATAGGGGAAGACGTTTAATGCATGGCCAATAGTATTACTGATTATTCCTGCCCATTTGCCACCAGGCTGTTTAGTATTATATTACGCCGTTTCTCAACCTGAAGAATTTCAGTTGTTAGGAGAAAAGCATACATATTTTGAGGCTACAGGATTTCATCATGAGCTGACATTAGTAAGAGGGTCATTGGGAACCCATCTGTTTCGTCCTAGTTCGGGACTCTTCACCAGTACAAGCCCATCACCAGGGTTCGAACCCAGAACCTTCTGGTCACAAGGTAAACTCGTAGACCAGTGGGCCACTGGGACCCAATCCAACGGCCAGCTCATGAATTCCAACTTCTGCCAGTTCACGATATAGAGTGACTGCCACCGGCCAATGTCATCTCTGTCTAATATTTGTCCTCACACCCAATCTGCTCTAGCCTACTGGTCACAGCTTCTCACTAGAACTCTAGTAAATGTGTAACTGTATAGGGCTAGTCGCCAGTGAGCATTAGATTGATATTTACTATGAATCTCCAAGTTTTTTCATTGAATATCTAACCAAAGTCAGCTCATGATCAAAGTTCTGTTACGAATCAAATCGAATTCCTACAAACCAACACTTGAATACTTTGAATTCATTTTCATGTTTAACAAATTATCCACCCTTATAATAATAATAATAAAACATTGCCATTTTCAATTTTTGTTTTTCATCCAGCCTCATCGGATTTCTATTCGTTCTATCTCCTCTCATGGTCAATCGAAAGATGCACAGTGTACATTGGTTGTCGGTCGAGGAATGACAGCTACACCTGCCCGATTGAAAGCTACACAAATTGGAACAAAATCAGCTAAATTAAGTTGGATTCCCGGGAATAGTAATTATTATCACCGAGTTTACCTGAATGAATGTCCACTGCACTTATGTAAACCCGGTGTGTATAAATTACATCTTACAGGTTAGTAATTAGAAGACAACTTTGTGTAAAACAGTATTTCTTACATAACTGCTTGTACTACGTTTTTATATTTTTGCTTTGCGAGTGAAACATATGGCTTCGGAATTCAGGCTTTCGAAGTCTTACTGCAGATGATGTTGTCGTTTTCATGAGGTGAGGTCCCTAGCTTTTCCCCTTTTCCGGGCTTAGCATCGGCTATATGTGATTTAAGAATGTATCATTTCTAACATTGCTTGATTATCTGCAAGGCTATCGGTCCGACCGGAAGAGATACTTCCTTTGTAATACAATTCAGTTTTCTTTTTGATAAAACTCTGAACTTCCTGTTGTTTATCACTACCAGGTATGTCGACGCCTTGTATAGACACTTCATCCAGGCCTGTGATTTCAACTGAATGTTAATCTATAGGTGCTGACTAATAGTTAAATAGCGCTTTCAGGCATTTTTTGGTAAAACTGTTTGATATTTTATAATCTTCTCCATATTAATCATTTATGATGGGGATACTGTTTGTTGCGTAGGCGTTACTTCCCATCTGAACTTTGCATTTACAGTGTGTCACAAATGGTTATAGATATAAGATTGAGGAAATTATCATTTACGAGTTGATCACAGATTGATATCAGTTAGAGAATCATTGAAAACCAGCCATGGAGAACTGGACAGCTGTTTCCCAAGTCCTAGTATGGGAATCATCGGCAGTAGGCACCCACCCTCCAGGGTTCGAAACCAGGACCTTCGGGTTACAAAGCAAGCTGGCTCGTATACTATTCAGCCACTGGGACCCGATTCAATGGCAAGTCCATGAATTCTATCTTATACCAATTCGTGATTAATCGCGACCCCAACCAATATCATCGGTGCGACATCCATCCTCACACGTGACATCTAATTGAACCTCACTGTTCACGACTCCTCACTAGAACTCCAGGAATCTCCATCCTGTAGCAAGTCACTAGTGAGCATCAGATTAGATTTCTGTTTTGAGAAGTCGTGACCATTGAGGTCAATCCAGTCATGTGAAAGGATGGATATCACACCAACGACATTGCTTGGGGTCGTGAAAAATCACGAAATGATGGAAGTTAGAATTCATGGACTGGCCATTGAATCAGGTCCCAATGGCTTAATAGTATACGAGCCAGCTTAACTTGTAACGGGAAGGTCCTGGTTTCGAATCCCAATGGATGCGTACTGCCCATGATTCCCAAACTAGGACATATGAAACAGCTGTCCAGTACTCCAGCACTGGTTTTCAATGGTTCTGTAGCTGATATCAATCCCGTCATCAAACTCGTAGAAAAATATCTAATCCTTACAGACCAACCTAAGGAAATTATCATTCCCTTGGATTCCTGGCGGAAAATATGAGCTTCAGCAGCATATCGCTATTTTATTCTGTTCTTTGTTGTCTTTCACAGCTCACTCCTTAGTTACACATAAACATTCATATTATGAATTCGTAGCATCGCAACAGGATTTCACTCCAGAAGCCGTTGTGTGATGTCGCTCAACAGCATCTTCATCTCCTCCTCACGCTTCATATTTGCTGCACGATAGATTTTTCTCCGTTCGTTGAGAAAATTCTTTGTTGTTTATAGATTCTGGGTGACCGTGTGATCCTCAGCATCAATACAGTGGAGGCAGCCAGTAATAGAAAACTATAGCAGGGATTACGTTCTGTGACAAACCTAGTCTTTGAACTATATAAATCCTCTAACTTGATATCAGTGTAAACAATTCAGATCTCTTTCCTTGTGCTAAGCTGCCCAGATTTTCTCACAGACTTTAGAGCAATGAATGTCTATCTCACTTTCCCAATCCTGGCTTTGACAGAAAAATATTTTGAGGAGATAATATTTATTTACTAAGTTTGAATAGATAATTTCTTATATCAGCAGCCGCTAGCTATCTTCAGCTCTCACACCTATTCTGTGATAATTCATATAACTTGTGGAATCAATATTATGTTAATTAATTTGTCACGTGTTCATTTTGGACTATAACTGTACGTTAGCCATGTGATTATCCTTTGTTGTGTATTGTTCAAGTTTACCATTGAAAAGACATGCATGAGGTATTATTTCATTTGTTCAAGTTAATATGGCTCTCGTGACCTGCTGGTCAAGTGAATAACGCATTAGCACTAAGAAATATGAGTGCGCAGATCGAGTGGGAACAATATTATTCACTGGAAGGGGGAGGGTGGTGACAGGTATATCCACTTGACATATCTCGGATTCCAGAGTTTGCCATCATCAACTAAGTGAAATTTTATTCGCGTCTCTTACAAATAGCTATAAAGGTAAACCTCTTTGACTTCTGTAAGAGGAATTCTCTTCGTATTCTCTGTTGATACCTCATTCTTGAACATATGATATGAGAATATTCAAGAATGGTTGCTGAACAAAGAATACTCTTTTCGATAGCCGCTTCATCATCAGGCTCTACAGTTATATATACATAACAGTTATAGTGAATAAATTAGTATTATCAACAACATTATTGTTGTTTAAATAACATCGAATCAATAATATTGATAGATTACAGCTCAATAGCATCAACATAAAATAAGCTGAATTTCAGAAACATTAGGACAGGTAATATCACAAATTCATGAATTTATAGTCTCTACTGAAGGTTAAGGCAGTACCATGAATGTTAATTTCAAATTTAACGGCACACTTTACAGACAAGTGGACGGAGTGGCGATGGGCTCCCTATTGGGTGTCATTTTGGCAGATTTCTTTCTAAATAAACTAGAAAACGGAACTTTGAACAAACTTATCAGAAGGTTCTCATTTTATTCCCGGTATATGGATGACACCTTCATTCCTTGTGATAATGATTCAGATACGAGTACAATAATTACTGAATTTAATGAAGTACATTCGGCTCTGAAGTTCACATGCGAAGAGGAATCCCAAGAGAGAATTGCCTTCCTTGATTTCCTCCTTACAAGAAAACCAGATGGTAGCATAAAAAGAAATTTGCATAGAAAAAATACTTGGGCAGGACAATATACACATTTTCACAGCTTCGTTCCTATCAAGTATAAAAGAAACTAAGTGAAGACTCTCAGCCACAGAGTTAGAGCTATATGCTCAGAAGAAGTAATTGAAGATGAATTAAGCATTATATATGATACCTTGATTGAAAATAGCTATCCTTACAAATTTATCAAGAAACACATGACAAAGAAAGTTGAAAAGGACTACTCACTATCCGTAAACAAGAAGCATCTTTATATATGACTGCAATTCAAGGGTGATATAATGAGTGAAATAATTACGAAGGAATTGAGAAAATCAGTTCAAAGCAGGTTTAATGCTTGCGAACTACACGTCTTATTCTCTAGAACGACCGATGGTGCTTCCTCGACTGAAAGATGAAGTACCTAGACTAACCCCCTTTAACTGTTTCTACCAATTCAGCTGCTCTTGTGAAGCGAGCTATATTGGCCGTTGCTCTAGGAACTTGATTTTTCGTGCTCAAGAACATCTCCCATTATGGCCAAGTAAAGGTGTAGTAGAAACCATCAACAGTTCGACATTGGACCATCTGGTGCAAACCGGTCACAAATTCAGCGTGGAAGAATCCTTCTGTATCATTTCCCGGGTGCCTAATAAATTGCCGAAAACATCGAAGCACCGCATGCTCCAAACTGCAGAGGCTCTGTGTGCAAAAGAAGCAAGTCCAGCCACTACTACTGCCCTGCCCTTCAGTAGAGACTAGAAATTCATGAATTCGTATTATTATCTTTCCTAATTTTTCTGATATTCAGTTTATTTTTATGTTGATGCTATTGAACTGTAATCTATTGATACTATTATTGATTCGATGTTATTTAAACAACAATAATGTTTTTCATAACACTAATTCATTCACTACTCTTATGTATATATAACTGTAGAGCCTGATGATGAAGAGGTTATCGAAAAGAGTATTCTTTGTTCAGTAATCATTCTTTTAAAAGAAAAAAATTTCAATGGGCATTTTCAATCAGTCAGAATATTTAAGAGTTCTAAACAATGTGTATTTGATAGTGTAAGAGAAATAATAAATAGCAACAATGTGTTGTGCAATGTAATCCACGTATTATGACAGTCTTTTCTAACCAGACCCAGAAAAGAATCAGGAGGAACAATTAATTAAAAAAATGGATGGAAAACATGAATCAATAAATTGCAACAGAACAAGTTGACTTATGCCTGAAAGTTTTAGCTTCCTTATGTGATAAGTCTGATGCGAAATTCCCCTAAAAGTCAACAGGAAAGTAGATAACCAACAAAGATTGGAAAAGAAAATGGTGCCAAGACAGTCAACGTTCTGTTTTTTTCTACAACCATAACTAGAATTACGAAAATACCCATTCAAATGGCCATGAATGCACTGAAAGAGAAACTAAAAGAAGATAATGGCCTAAAAGACAGAAAACAGTTATCCGTAGAAGAGATAATAAAAGGGGTGGAATTTCGTCTGACAACAACATATTTCACATTCGAAGGGAAAATATACCAACAAAATGAAGGAGTAGCCATGGGATCGCCTATCTCACCAATAATAGCTGACATATTCATGGATTATTGGGAAGAGAATGTCCTTAAACCATTCAGGTCATCACTAAAATGTTGGTGGAGATATGTAGACGACACACTAGTAATAGTGAAAAAAAAACGATATTGAGAAACTCTTCTCACACATAAACAGCCACGTCGACTCAATAAAATTCACTATGGAAGTAGAGAATGAAATCGGGGAACTACCTATGTTAGACTGCAAAATACAAAGAATAACAGATGGTAGCATTAAAACGACTCTACATAGAAAAACCACACACTCTGGAAGATTCCTTGATTATCACTCAGCTCATCCACTCACGGTGAAACGGGGAATTATACAAGGTCTTGTAGATAGAATACGTAGACTTACAACAACGCCAGAGGACCAATGTAAAGAAATAAATGTCCTATTCAAAATGCTACTCGAAAACAACTAC